GGCCAGGATTGAAACTTGTGTGATTCCAAAACTTCTTAACCTGTACACTGCATCATAGCATGCTTTTTTTTTCTTCTGATTTAATTAGTGTAAAATAAGACTTTGTTATGTTAATTTTCAGAGCCTCAAAAATATTTAGCATTCTTTTCATTTTCTTTCTTTCTTTTTAATTGAAGTATTGCGAACACACGGTGTTACATTAGTTTTAAGTGAACAATGTACTGATTCCACAGCTCCATACTCCACAGTTATTTTCAACCTGCATTTTCTCATACAACTTTTCTGTTCATCCACTTTCAACAATAGCTAACACACGGAACTGTGTTCCAGCTTCTGTGCTGATGTGTTTCACAAACAAAACCTCATTTACTTCCCGAAGAATCCTTTACAATGGCTAACAAAGTCCTGTGTGGACCAGCCCTCAAGTGTTTCTCCAGTTCTTACAGCCTATTGAGTTTCTTGTCCTTGTCATGCTTCTTCTGCCACAGGGCCTTTGCACACATGTTGTTGCCTCTCCTTAAATATTCCCCCATATTCCTCTTTACCTAGTTAATTAACACTTCATAATTTTTCAGATCTCAATTTGGCGACCATTTCCTCAGAGAAGCCTCTCTTGACCTTCCCAATAGATCAAATACATAATACATTCTCATTAGCACCGTAATTTTTAAAAAAAAAATTTTTTTAACGTCTTTTTTATTTATTTTTGAGACAGAACAGGGCAGGGGCAGAGAGACAGGGAGACAAAAAATCGGAAGCAGGCTCCAGGCTCCGAGCCATCAGCCCAGAGCCCGACGCGGGGCTTGAACTCACGGACCGTGAGATCGTGACCTGAGCTGAAGTCGGACGCTTAACCGACTGAGCCACCCAGGTGCCCCATCACCGTCATTTTTTTTAAGTTCCTTTTTTTGCCCCCAGCCTCATAGCATTTTTCATAGTTCAATTTGACATCTATTAGTGTGTTTATTCGATTAATGTCTGCCCTCCCATTAGACTGAAGCTCTACAAAGGCGAGGCTCACATTTGGTTCCGCTTGTCTTGGTGTCCTCAGTGACCGGCACTGGCACACGTTTGGCAAGTAGTAGACCCTGAGGAACAGAGAGGTTAAACAACTTGCCTCAGGTCATGCCCTGCATTAAGTGGTGGAACTTGGATTTGAAATAAAGCTATCTGTTGAGCCTGTGCTAGTAGCCCTTCCTCCGATCCCTGACTCTAGTGCCCCCAATTTGTGCATTAGTCTTAACCTTTTAAACTTAAAAAAATGATAGACTATCACATGTGCACAGAAAAGTACTTTAAACACGCATATGCAATTTAACAACTAGTGATAAAGCAGGCATCCATACGAGCTCCGCTCAAACAGAGAAACAGAACATTGCCTACACCTCAGGAATCCCTTGGGTGTCCTGGACCGCATCTCCCTCACCCCCCACTGCCAACCCCTGCCAGAGTGGAGGTAGGTGTTGCCCTGAAATGGTGATGATTTTTATTTATTTTTTATCCCCTTCACCTATTTCGCCTATCCCCCTCCTCCCCTCCCCTCTGGCAACCACGAGTTTCTCTTTATATTTACGAGTCTGTTTCTCTTTTCGTTGCTGTTTGTTGTTTTGTCTTTTAAGATTCCACATCTAAGTGAAATCATATTTGCCTTTCTCTGTGGAATTATTTTCTTTGTTTTTCTGAATAGCTTTTATATATATATATATATATATATATATAAATAATTATTGAACTGTAGGGATTAATTTTACCTGTTTTGGAACTCTATGTAATGAAATCATGTTATATGTATTTGGCTTTTTTAAAGGCCTTTTTTTCTTTCACTCTACATTATATTTATAAAATCCATCCATTTTGTTGGATGTAGCCAGGTCTTGATTTTTTTTTTCTATGAATTCCATCAAGGTCGAATAAATGCAATTACCAAACTGTTGGGATCACAGAGTGCATTGAGCGAGGTCACGTACTCACTTAAGAACTGCCTTGGATCACCACCATCCAGTGTCTTGGCTTTAGTTTTGCAAGTCTGAAAATTCAATTTTGTTACTATGCCCAGAGTTGATCATCAGGATTAGGCATACATAAGAAATCCACCAGAAACAAGATTGCCAATGTATTAATTTTTCAAGGAGACAAATCACTGTGAGAATAGAAGTTTGCATTGACTGACAGCATATCCTATAGTTTGGAGAAAAACTTATGTGAGAAGCCAACCATAATCAGAAAGTTGCCTGCTGAGCAGAATGATTTTGGTGGCCTCAGCTGTGATGGTTCAGACAATATTTTTATAGGTAGCCACCTCCTTGTCTGAACCCTCAGGAGTGGCCACCACTCTTTTCTGGACAATTCTAGGGACAACAGTGACAGTGTTGGGCATCTTACTGGTCTTTTAGGCTTAATGAGGACCATCCACTTCCATTAGCCCATTCTTTATCAGATAGATTACAGTTAATAGGCATTTCCTTTGGCCAGTTACTGCAACTGATTGTGGTTTTATGATATGTACACTCCAGCCATTATATTAAATATGGGTCAAGGCTTGGTTATATATATCACATGCTGGTCAATTTGCTGCATGTCTTTGTTTAAAACTCCTTTGATGTACCTTTCCTTTACTACATTGGAGGTAGTTGAAGCATCTTCATTTAGAAAGCATGTGTAAAGGGGCATCTGGGTGGCTCAGTCAGTTGATGTCTGACTCTTGATTTTGGTTCAGGTCATGATCTCACAGTTGGTGAGTTTGAGCCCCACATTGGGCTCTGTGCCGATAGCGTGGAGCCTGCTTGGGATTCTGTCTCCTTCTCTGTCTCTCCTCACCCCTCTTTCTCTCTCTCAAAAATAAATAAATGAACATTAAAAAAAAATACAACCAATAACATTTAACCTATCAGATGGATCTGTACTTAAAACATTATAGTCCTAATGTTGGTCAGAGTTCAGAAATATGCATTGGTGTTGTAACCTTTCTGGAGGCAAAATTTGTATACCATATCTCGTATATATTTGATAATATGGATCAAAAGCCTTTAAAGTGGGCAAATTCTGGGTGCACCTGGGTGGCTCAGTCGGCTAAGCATCCGGCTTCAGCTCAGGTCATGATCTTGCAGTTCGTGGGTTCAAGCCCCACGTCAGGCTCTGTGCTGACAGCTTGGAGCCTGGAGCCTGCTTCGGATTCTGTGTCTCCTTCTCGCTCTGCCCCCCTCCCACTCGCACTCTCTCTCTCTGTCTCTCAAAAATAATTAAACATTAAAAAAAATTTTAAGTGGGAAAATTCTTTGACCACTCCTGAGAATTCATCTGAAGGAAATAAGGAAAGATATTTTTATAGGTTTTGGCTACCTATAAAAATATTGTTTAGAACGATGGTTTAGGAAGATCGGAAGCAACTTAAAGGTGCAATAATATAAAGGAACAGGTTAAGTAATTTATATTACACTCCATAGTATGGAATACTCTGCCATCATTTAAAACGTTTAACACAAATTCATGAGTAAAAAGAGCAAGTTGAAAACCCCCATATACAGTGTGATCCCGTCTTTATTACACAGGTAGATAAAACATTGGAATGTAATATAAAATCTTAAGAATGATTAAGTCTGGGTAGAGCGGGATATTAGGTGATTTTTAGAATTTTTTTTTACTTCTCTGTATTCTAAAATTTCTTCAATGAATATGCCATTACTTTTTTATTTAAGAAATCTGTATTTAAAATTTTGCTTTAGTGCTTGATTCCATTTGAAACATAAAAAGAAAAAAAAGGGGGGGTGAATTTTATGTCTCTTAGGGATAAGGTATATTTGCAGAAAAGGTAAATACTATATTCATCAAATACAAAGACGTATTTATTAAATATGAAGGATTCAATGAGTCCTAACAGAAAGAACATACCCAGTTCTAAAGGCCACGACAATGTTGGTTTGGAATACACTAGAAGTCAGACTGATACAGTAACAACTTCTGGAGACTGATCATAGACCAGAGAAGGCATGGATACATTAGAACTGAATATATCCTACTTCTATATTTACTTGTATATAAATAAATACACTCATGAACATAGTTCCTCCTGTAGGAGCCAGTGCACAAACATGTGTTGAATTGAAATTGATGAGGTTTTGGGGTGATGGGGGGTTCTTGGGGTCTGGAGCCGAAGTCAAGAAAGAATTCTTGAGATGTCTTTGGGGCAAAAAGGTGATTTTATTAAAGCATGGGGACAGGATCCGTGGGCAGAAAGAGCTGTGTTGGGGCTGTGAAGAATGACTGGTTTTACACTATGGAGCTGGGGGAGGTGAAGTCACAAGGGAAGCCTCCAGAAGGACTTTCATAAGCTAAAGAAGGACTTTCCTAAGATACCTGAGGCCTTGCTATTGTCACGCTAAGGTTGTTTTCCCTCCACTAAGGCATTAACATTAGGACGGTAGGGGGTTCCTGCAGAAAAGTTCTGCTCTGTATTTGCCTCAAGTATTTGCCAATGGGCTGCAGGTTATAAGGACACTGAATTTTACTTGCCGTTTCCTTCTTGCCTTCGTTCCCCACATCACTATGGAGGGGAGGGTGATGTTGGGGCTCCGGGAAATAGTCTACAGTCTTCTGGAGATTAAGCTATTGACAAGATTGCTTTTTTCTTGTAATTTACTAAGATATTTGTAAACTGGTGGAGACCCATGTCCTGTATGACTGGGACCTATATCAGTTGGCCATTTGTCTTTCCTTTCCTTTGTCCTTGGGCAGCCAGGAGTGCCTGAGGAATATCACCCACGTTCCACCTGGGGGGGGGGGTGCACTAAAATGATTCATTTATGTGAAACAGCCTATCCCTTGAACACACTTATCAGCATTTTTTCACTTTTGTGCACATTAAGTTGAATTTTTTTTTTTTTTTTTTTTGCTACTACTGATGTGGTTTTGGAGTGGTGGTAGGGGTCCAGAGCCGATGGCCAAGAAAGAATTCTTGAGATGTCTTTGGTGCAAAAAAGTGATTTTATTAAAGCATGGGGACAGGGCCCGTGGACAGAAAGAGCTACCCTGGGATTGTGAGGAGTGACTGATTATATACTTGGGAGTTGGGGGAGGTAAAGGCAAGGGGAAGTTTCCAAAGGTATTTTCATCTGCTAGGATCCCGGAGGCCTTGCTATTGTCAGGTTAAGATTGTTTCTCCCTCTAGCAAAGCATGCACATTAAGACGGTAGGAGGCTTCTAGAGAAATGTTCCACTGTGCCCGCCTCAAGTATTTGTCCATGGGCTGCTGGTAATAAGGAAATTTAATTTTATTCACCATTTCCTTCTGTCTTTGTTTCCCACATCACTACCACCAGAATAAATATATCGCATCACTTCTAATTTCTCTCAACTCTATACCCAGCCTCTCACTCCACATTTTCAGTTATTCCCAGGATTTTTTTTAAGTCACACTTTTTGTCATAGCCTCACATTTTAAGTATCTAAAGTTGGTCTCCTTGGTTTACTCACCCCACTTTGGCTATTGCTTATCTACCTGCTCACTTACCTGACTATTGGACAGCAGCCAAATCCCCACATGTTTGGCTGGCGAACTGGAGCGGATTGGAGGCTTGGAACAGATCATACTGACTTGTAGTTGTAGGCATTGGGGAACTACCTTGAGAGACAGCCCAACCTGATTCCCCCTCTCTCATCTAGCACAGCGGGGGGTGGGGGCGCAGATTTGATTTATCCGGCTCTGAAATGTAACTTATGCTATGTCTTCTATACCATGAGGAAGTCCTCCAAGGCAAAGATATTCTGGTCTTGTGCTTTCTTTTTCTTTCTCTTTCTGTTCTCTTTTGGAAGTGACCCTAATCCATTTATTAGTAATTAACTTACTAGTCAATGAGAAGTACCTGAAAATGGCTCCGTCCTGATTTCTACTTTTACGGCCAGGACCTCAGTTTTCCTGTCTTGAAAGGAAAAGGATAGTATAGACCATAAACCAAATGCACTTACTATAAGCTTATCAAGCTTACACAGAATCTGGTTGGTCATGTGTTTCAACCAATCAGGGCCCAGGAGGGATGCTGGCCCTGTTTCTTGTTCTCTTAGCAACTTTCCCCCGATTTCTCTTATTACTGTGAATGCATATCCCAGCGTTGCGGTTGGCAGAGAAATGCGTTCTGCCTTTGACCAACCCTTTCTCCCTCAACTTCCACCCACCCCCATGGCCATACGTTCTCTTTTATACCCTTTTGCTGTCTATTCTCAAGGCTCCTCCTTTTCTGGTGAGGTGGATCAGTTCTTCCGTCCTACTTCAGCTCTGTTTTGTTCTCTGTTGGGGGTTTTGAGCCCCTGGGTCTGGTAGGGAGAGTAGGGGAATTAAAAAAGGCCTTCACAGTGGTCTGAGCTCAAGGTAAGATATCTAAAAACAAAACAAAACAAAAAACAACAACGACAAAACCCAACTTTCACACTTACCAAATTAGCCATTCCATAGGCATTTCCTATGTGATGTTTTGCTAAAAGAGCATGGTCTCCTTAAGTCATCCAGGAGGATGACTGCCGGAAGAGGAATGAGTGGGAAGAAAAAGTCATCCTGTTCCATTGTTGAAGGCGGCAATCGAAGGAGCGAAACTAGCACAGGCTGATGAACGCACGTGCGCATGTGTGCATGCAAATACACAATGTCTCACACACACAATCTTTATCTGTGACATTTCACCAAATTAACAGAGGCACATCTTACCAGGAAAAGGGCTTTTTGCTTATAGCATTCTCCCTAGAAAACATTCCACAAGCAGGCAAAACAAAACAAGTAGAAACAGTGTAACAGGCACTGTCGATGCACAAGCTCAGTTCTGGAGATTTCGAAAAGGAGCAGTTCTGGGACTTGACATCTTTTCAGCAGCTCTGGAATCAGTGGCAGCCTGAAAGTGAGCATTCTTTTCTTAAAAAAATTTTTTTTAACGTTTATTTATTTTTGAGACAGAGAGAGACAGAGCATGAAGGGGGGAGGGGCAGAGAGAGAAGGAGACACAGAATCAGAAGCAGGCTCCAGGCTCTGAGCCATCAGCCCAGAGCCTGACACGGGGCTCAAACTCATGGACCGCAAGATCGTGACCTGAGCTGAAGTCGGATGCTCAACCGACTGCGCCACCCAGGCACCCCGAAAGTGAGCATTCTTTAGTGGATAAGAGCAGAGACAGCTGAAAAAGTTGGCGTAACTTGAGTGGAAATTAAAAAAAAAAAAAAATTATTTTTTTTTTTTTGAGAGCTTGCACATGTGGGGTGGAGGGGCAGAAGGAGAGGGAGAGAATCTTAAGCAGGCTCCCCGCTGGGTGTGGAGGGCTCTGCAGGGCTTGATCTCATGACTGTGAATTTAACTAAGGACATGCCACAGGCACATGGGAGACTATAAAAGATTTCCACTCAGGGTGCCTGGGAGGCTCAGTCAGTTAAGCGTCCGATTCTTGATTTCAGCTCAGCTCACGATCTCACAGTTGTGTAAGATTGTTGTTTGTTTGAGGGGTCAGCTTGCAGTTTGGGTCATATATATATATATATATATATATAAGACTGCCTCTGGGACTGAAACTTTTGAAATTTTGCTATATAGAGAGAGATTTTATTTGGCTTAAGCTCCATTTCTACTTAAAATAGCCCTGTAGTAGCCGTAGAGAAGGTAAACTTTTAATGTTTGACATTTGTGTGGAGCATATAGTTTGTTTTCAAAAAGACATTGGCTTTTAAAATATTCACTAGTTTCACCTCTAGGTTTTAGCTATTTGTGGCTCAGCTGCAGTTAAGTGTGATCTTTTCACTTCTCCAAACTGAAGTCTGCTGACCTTATACTCAGGGGCTCTGTCCTGAATTGGAGGTAGTTCTAGAAGATGCTACAAGGGCAAAAGTGGACTGTTTGGGCAAAAGAGAAGGAAAGGTCTCTACAGAGAGAGCTTCTTACCTCTTTTCTCTAGGAAGATTTAATTTTTGGAATTTTATTACAGTGGCTGAAAAGACAATCCACTAAGTACAAGGCAGACAAAACCTATCCTACAACTGTGGCTGAGAGACCCAAGAATATCAAGAAAAACAGATACAAGGATATCTTGCCCTGTAAGTTTTTGTTTCTCCCTATAAATTTGTACCTTCTCCCAAATTCAGTCAAATTTTTACCCATTGCCTGCTGTTCCCAATCCTGGTACAGTGCTTTGACAAATGAGTTTGTACTATATACAACCACAAAAGAACATTTACTCACTCACTCACTCACTCACTCATCAAACACTTTTGCACAGCCACTATTCACAGTGCTAGTTTCTGACTTACGGTAAGTCCTCTAAGTCCTTTTAGTTCTCATATGTCCATCATTTGTATTATAGATGATCATAGCTTAGTAGAGCTGTCTCTGATAACCTCGGATGAAGATTCCAACTACATCAATGCCAACTTCATTAAGGTACACCCCATATTCTATAGTTGTCTAGGTACCTTAAAAGGGGTCGGGATACTAGACCATATTTCTTTAGGTACCTAAGAAAGAGGTGGAGGGGATTCTAAACAAGAAGAAAAGGATATTATCTGTAGTCATCCCATGTAATTTCTGTTCCCCTTTAGGGAGTTTATGGACCCAAAGCTTATATAGCCACCCAGGGACCTTTGTCTACAACTCTCCTGGACTTCTGGAGGATGATTTGGGAATACAGTGTCCTGGTAAGGGCAGAAATGCTTTTGTTACTATATTCTCTAGTTTTTAGAGATGGAGGGAGGAGGGTATCAGGGTATGTGACTGAGGTGTCCTTTGTATTAAAATCAGTGCCTTTTTGGGTCAGTCGCTAGAATTTCAGTGTTCAAGCACATTTTTGTCAAAATCACAAAGTCACCTTTACTCAAGGAAATGAAAGTTCTCATCTTGACAGGCTCATTTGTTAACAAGAATTTACCAATTTGAATAGAGAAAAGGGAAGTAAGGACAGAAAGAAGGGTAGGAGCAATATTTTAAAATTTATCAAGATTTCTGTTTTCTTTTTTGTTCAATAACAAGAAAAAAAAAAAAAAACAAAACAGAAAGAACAATGACTCTGGGACCCGTGTGTTAACTGCTTTTTCTAACTGTATCAACGCTCAGGTTTCTATTTATTTCATCCCCTCAGATCATTGTTATGGCGTGCATGGAGTTTGAGATGGGGAAGGTGAGTTAAAGGAAAGAGAAGGGGGAAACTTGGTTGCAGAACTTGCCTTAAGTGTGCCTACGTAAAAATTATTCTGGGATGCCTGCGTGGCTCAGTCAGTTAAGTGTCCGACTTCGGCTCAGGTCATGATCTCACGGTCCGTGAGTTTGAGCCCTGAGTCAGGCTCTGTGCTGACAGCTCAGAGCCTGGAGCCTGCTTCAGATTCTGTCTCCCTCTCTCTCCGCCCCTCCCCCACTTGCGCTCTGTCTCTCTCTCTCTCTCAAAAATAAATAAACATTAAAAAAAATTATTCTCGGGGCGCCTGGGTGGCGCAGTCGGTTGGGCGTCCGACTTCAGCCAGGTCACGGTCTCGCGGTCCGTGAGTTCGAGCCCCGCGTCGGGCTCTGGGCTGATGGCTCGGAGCCTGGAGCCTGTTTCCGATTCTGTGTCTCCCTCTCTCTCTGCCCCTCGCCTGTTCATGCTCTGTCTCTCTCTGTCCCAAAAAATGGATGAACGTTGGAAAAAAAAAAAATTATTCTCATCTTGCTAGCTTTCAGTTTGGGAATGCCTAACGACTCTCAAGTATTTTTTATTTACCTCTAAGAACTCCTTTTGTCCATTTGCCCAGGCTCTATATTTTTAAGTAAAAAGAAGGTATGCTTTTAAAGTAACAATTCATCTTCCCATTTTTATTAATCAAGCATCTTAAATGGCAGTCAGCACTTCTAACCCTGTGCTGTCCAACAACATGACATCCACTGAGATAAGAAATGTCAAATATCTAATATCTGTTTTATCCGGATTACATGTGTTTTGATCGGGCTAAGATATATTATTAAAATCAATTTCATTTTTGACTTTTGAACGTGGCTATTAGAAAACTTAAAATTGAGTGTGTAGCTTACATCTTGTTTCCATTGGAGAGCACCTATCTTACCTACTGTTGACATTCACAGTTCAGTTAAAACCAAGGAATTTGGGGTTTCACTTCGCTCGTGCCGCTTTGTTTTAGTAGAGGTGATTTCTGTTAATCCTTTCGAAATAGAGCAGTCCCCTCCTTGTTCGCGTGGGATATGCTCCAAGACCCCCAGTGAATGCCTGACACCAATAAACAGTAACAAACTGTACACGCACCATATTTTTTCCTATACGTACATACCTATGGTGAAGTTTAACTTGTCAACTAGGCATGTTAGGAGATTAACAACAATAATAAAATAGGACAATTGAAGCAATATACTACAAGTTGTGTGAATGTGGTCTCTTTCTTTCTCAAAATATCTTATTGTACTGTACTCACCCTTCTTCTGATGATGATGTGAGATGATCAGATGCTGACACAAAGGAAATGACGTAGGTGTTTGTGATGTAGGGTTAGGCTACTACAATACTTAGTATTGCCAACAATACGTCCCAGACGTTAGGTACCCGAAAGGCTGAAATTGGTAACTGTAACCATGGAAAGCAAAGCTGTGAATGAGGGGGGGACTACTGTGCTGAAAATGCCAGATCCCTATTTCTACTTTTTCAGACTTCTAGGAAGTCTGTAATTTATGTATCCTTTAGTGTTTTCCCCGTCCTTGGAGATTCCAGACCACCATGATGTTGGGGGCAAAGCCCAAGGGGATAGGACATTGCTAACGTAAGGTGAAGGACACAGAACCTGTGTCTCTCTCATTGAGAGTGGGTTTTGTTACCTACGAGAGACTAGAATATATGGAGGGAAATCATTACATTCTGTTTTGTGTAACAGAAAAAGTGTGAGCGCTACTGGACTGAGCTAGGAGAGCTACAACTGCAAGTTGGTCCTTTCTCCATATCCTGTGTAAGTATGATGGCTGCTTCCGTTGCGGCTGAGCAAATGCTCCAGGATCTACTTTATAGAGACTAGTTTTTGAATATTAGTCTTTGAAGTAACTACTATTTTAATTTACTTCTTAGGAAGCTGAAAATAGAAAATCTGATTACATAATCAGGACTCTAAAAGCCAAGTTCAATAGTGTAAGTATAGAACAGGAGTGGTAAACTCAAGAGCCTACAGAGACAGAGGTAAAAACACATATGTGGGGCGCTTGGGTGGCTCAGTGGGTTAAGCCTCTGACTTTGCCTCAGGTCATGATCTCACAGCTGGTGTATTCAAGCCCCAAATGGGTCTCTGTGCTGACAGCTCAGAGCCTGGAGCCTGCTTTG